GGGGACGGGGGGGGGGTGATGTCGGGGGGCCCTGGGCGGGTGTCCCTGTGCCCCGGCCCCCTCCCCACCAGGGCAGGAGGAAACGGCCGTGTCCAGCCTTTCCCGAGGATGAGGATTTCCTTCCTCCCATTGAGCGGGGACCCTGAGGTTAGCACGCAGCCGTGGGGCGCCCGGCCCGCGGGATGGGGAGGGGGGGTCCGGATGGGAGGTGAGGGAGCAGAGACCCCCCCCAGACACACCACTTTCGGGTGCAGCTCCCAGCAGGACCCCACTTTTCTCCCCCTGCCTGGCCAGAGGGGGGGCAGCTGCCCTCGGGGACAAGGCCACCTTGGGGGGGGGGGATGTTGAGATGGGGACATTGATCTGGTCCCTTCTCTCCTTCCCCACGGCTTCGTCCCTGCTCATATTTTTGGGGCAAGAAGAAGCCGGGCAGAGCGGGCAGCCTGGGGGTGACAGAGCCGTGACACCCCCCCACCCCCGGGGTGTCCCCACCGGAGCTGGCCCAGCTCCAGCCACCCCGGCTGCAATTTTTGGGCTCCCAGTCGCGCCAGGGGGGGCTTGGAGGTCCCCCACGGGTCCAGAAATGTGACCCTTGTCACTGGCCACCCCTGGGCAGAGGCTCCCAGCCCCGATGGGTGCCTGAGCCCCACAGCACACCCCCCAAAAACACCCCCCCCCACAGGGACCTGGCCCGGACACGGAGGTTACTGGGTTCCCAGAAAAGGCTTTTCCTGCAGCTGGGAAGGGCCGTGGTGGGACCAGGGGACACTTCTCATTTCCCTTCCCTCCTCTGACAGCAAAGGGGCTTTCCCGGGCACCCCGGGGGGGGACAATGACGTCCCGGGGAGGCCCCGGGTGGGAATTCCCCTGGGAGCAGCCCCGTGCTCCTCGGAGGTACCTTCTTTGGGGACCCGGCTGCCTTGGTGACACCGGGGGTCCCGGGCAGCCCCGCGCCCCAAGGGGTCCTGGCCTGGGCAGGCTCCATCTGCCGCCCTCCCCGCGCCCCCTAATCCCGGGATTAGCAGCCTGGCACAGGTTTGCTGCAGGTAACGAGGCTCCCTCGGGGAGGAGGTTACGGACATCAAAGTGCAGGCAATTATGGCTAATCCCACACCTGCGCCTAACGAGCTCGGCAGCCGCCCTGCCTGCACCCAGCGGGACCTGGGGAGAAGCCGGACGGCACCGCGGTGGGGTCCCCGAGCCGAGAGGACAGGGAGCCCCTGTGTGCTGGGGACCCATCCCGGGATAGTGCCCCCAAGCACGGGACCCCAGGATCGTGCCCGTGTTGGTGGGTCACGGAGCAGAAATCCCGGCAGAAACGCCCTCCCCGGGGCTCGGTGCTGCAGCCCCCAGACGGGGCACGTGCGCCGGGGACAGATTTTGGCCTCCCGCTGCCCGCCGGGAATCCCCTCACCGCTTCCCAGCGGAGGCAGCTGATGGGAAATCGCTGTTTTCCCCGAAAAGCCCGTCCCAACATTCCATTCCTGGGAGGCCACGTCTGCTGCCCCGTCCCCCCGTCCCCGGGACCTCCGTCCGCCCGGTTCCCGGCCGGTCCCACCCCGGTTGGGCGCAGACGGAGGACGGATGCTGCGGCACCGGGAGCACCACAGACACCCCCCAGCTCCTCCGAGTCCCCCCCAAAAACTCCAGTTTGTCCCCAGTTGGTGCAACACCCAGCATCTGCATCTCATCCAGCATCCAGCAGCTGCCGATGTGGGGACAGGGTTGGGGGGTGCAGGGGGACAGGAGCACCCCACAAAGCTGAAGGTCCCCATCCCAGGGGGTAATCCCGGCTGGGACTTGTCCTTTGTCTGGAGGCCAGTAGCTTTTAATTCTATCAATTCTTCCTTAATAATTGCTTATGCCATTAATAAAGCCAAAATGTTAATGTGGCTAATTAAGGGTTCGTTTGCCCCCTGCCATGTCGCACCGCAGCAGGTTTTGTGTGACATCAACAGAGGGAAAAAAGTCAGAGTGGGGTGGGTGGGAGCCTCATGCCAGTGCCCATCCCATCAGCATCCCTGCTCCCCCGGGATGGGGACTGGGGGCCAGGGACACCTGAGCAGTGCCCCAGGCCCCGTTCCCCCCCAGACCCAGAGCCGTGGGGTCTCCGTGGGGCTAGGGCACCCGAGTCCAGGGGGTGCTGAGCCGAGCCGAGCTGGCCACCACTGCCCCAGCCACTGTCTGACATTGCCCGGGGCTCACCTGGCCGAAACCGGGGCAGGACACGGCCCAGGAGGCCCCATCCCTGTAATAGGCAGCCCTGAATTAGCATATTCGCATCCTCATTAGCAATTACACACACACACACGCCCTCATTTTCTCATCTGAACAAGTCCACGGTGGGGACCTGAGATGAGCAAGCGTGGGGTGGGTGGTGGGGCTGGACCCCGAGCCGCCCGGTCCTCTGCTCGTCACTTGAGACCGTTAAGCTCATTGCACTTGTGGGACGGAGCAGCCACAGCACCCACGGCCCCCCCGGACCTCTGCTGGGTGCTGGTGGGGGCGGGCAGCACACACCCCCCCCCGGGGAGCAGATGGTGACTCGCAGCGCGGGGGCCAGATGGGCCGTAGGGCAGCAAGAGCCGCCCCCCGCCCCCGTCATCACCCCCCCCTCGGCTTCCGCTGCCATTTTACAGCGGCTATAAATATTTAACAGCTCCATCCTCTCTCTGCTGCCCAACCCACAGCCGGGGGGACGGCGGCTCCCACCGCTCCAGCCCGCTTTGCACCGCGCTGGGGGGCTGTGGGATGAGACCCCCCCCCCAAAATGGGCACATCCCCCCCCACAGCATCGCTCCGGGTCTGAATAACCCCAGCGAGACGGGCTGGGAACACGAGGACTGAAAGACGGTCAATGGAGACTTTGGAGGACTTGGGGGCCATTTCCCAGGAGCTGGGGATGAGGGGGGGGCGGGGAGAGGTGGGGGGGAGGTCGCCCACCTCCTGGTTGGGGGGGGGTCAGGCTGCTCCGTGGTGGCCCCATCCTGGCCCCCGTGGAGGCTGAGCACCCCTGAGACCTCCTGGAGGTCCAAAGGGGCACAAATACCCCCAAACCCACCCCGGGGAACCCGGCTCCTGGGTCAGACCCCAGCCAGGAGCACCGCGGGGGGGTCGGGTGTCCCCGGGGGCGGCGGAGCCGGTTGCAGCATCATCTCCCACGTGAGGCTGCGAGTCCCGGCATGTGGCTCCCGTGGGGCACGTCCCGTGGGGCACGTCACGGCCCGCGGCCCCCGGGACACGGGGAGGGGTCTGCAGCCCAGGGCTCGCCCCGGGAACGGCCCTTTCCCGGCACCGGGGGAGTGTGGGTCCCACGGCCGGTTCCCCTTCTCCCGGTGCCCGGGCCCGGCCTCGGTGCTCCCGTGGGACACCCGTGCACCGGGGCAGCCCCCCGCCGGAGCCGGGCTTCCTCCCGCCGCGGCCCCGAGTCTTTCCGCCGCTCTTCCGCCGACCCCGGGGCCACCGGCTGCCTTCCTGCCCCGTTTCCTGCCGCCGGGGCTGCCTCCTCCCCGGGCCCCACATCCAGCCCCACGCACATCCCTGTTTCCGAGCCTTCCCGGCTCTCTCCGCCGCTCCTGTCGCTCTTTCCCCACCCTCGGATGGGGGGGAGCCCGGCCCCACCGCGGTGTCCTGGACCCTCCACCAGGACCCTGCACCCTCCCGGGGGTCTCCGGTCCCATCCTCCGCGGGGCCCTGTCCCCGACGCCGCTGCAGGAGCCACCCGGCTCCGGGTTTTTGCAGGGGGTGGGTTCCTGCATCTCACCAGCCATTTCCTTCCAGCTCGGTGATAAAGGCATCGACCGGAGCAAAGTCTGCCCCGGGCTGGCACCGGGGAGCGGCAGTTCCCCGATTGCAATCACTTTTGGGGATCTACCACTGACCTAGTTCTTAATCCGCCGGGCACAGGGATTGCAGCCCGGGCCGGCGGGAGCGAGCAGGAGCTTTCCAGGAGCATCGATACCCTCCACACAGAGTGCAAAGCCCACCCCGCCCCGACTTGTTTTGATTTTGGGGGAGCCGAGGGTCCCGCAGGCAGCTCGGTGCCCCCTGTTCCCCTCC